TTCCCCCTTGCTTGTCCCTACTAGTCACCATAGAGATTCTAGGAGAATTTTTCACATAAGAAGCTTCATCATGACCCTTGCTTAGTAGCTGAGCATTTGTCCACAGCTCAGTGAGGGAGCTGGCAAGGCTGAGCTTGTGCATGGATGGAAAGGATGGAAAGCTAAGTGGAATCTTTAATTAGCTCCCTTTATCAGTTAGCTATTGCTGTGTAACAAATCTTCCCACCTTTTTTTGGAGTATCATGGAACAGATGAGGGGGAGGTCTCCCTAGAGTAACATAATTGTTCTGTTATCACAAGAAAAGAGCTTCAATGCTTGGTGGAGAGCCCAGAAATGCCCTCTACAGATTTTGCACACCCATTTGTTAAACAGATATTTAGAGCTTACAACAATATTCAGTTGTTATCACTTAGGTATCCGTGTGTGCTGAGGTGGTTCTGCTCCACACGTATCTCCCATTCCTCTCTGGGGCAGTGAGCTATCCAGAGCATGTTCTTGATGAAGCAGAGGTGCAGAACAGAAAAGCAGGAGCAGGCAGGTCCTCTCAGAGCTGAGGCTCAGCCCTGGTCCCTGGTCACTTCTTATACCACTGGCAAAATCATGCCAAGCCCAAAGTGGAGAATAAAGAAATATACCCTAATTGCTCCCCACTCTCAAGGATAAGCAAGGGCAAGGGTATGAATGCAGGGAGGGTTGAAAACTTGAGACAAATCATACAACTATACCACTAAATCTAACCACTGGGCTTTTACTACAGCGACCCTGCCCCCTAATGATGGTGGCTCCGAATGACTCATCATTGAGCAGCATGTCCTTTGTGGAGAACCTAGGGAGAAAACGGAGCAGAAGCTGCCGGAAGGGCAGCAAGGGGTGTAAAAGCCTCTCTTGCAAGGATTCTTACATCCTTCCACTCCCGAAAATGAGAATTGCCTAATTATTTATATATATATTTTTTAGATTTTTGCTATAAGGTGAGTGAACTCACTGGAGAGACAGAGACAGAGAAATAGAAAGCAAGAAATCACCCTCCAGGGGGGATGGCCATGCCTTAGTCCCTTCTCCTTCTCAGGATTTTGGGCAAGCATGCACACATGCCCAGTGTGAGTTTCAAGCTGCTGGGTCCAGGGCTCGAACCACAGTCGGCCACATGGGAGTCCAGCAACGTAACCATTACGCCACTTGCAGGTCCCCAGAATGGCCTAATTCTTTATCAGAGCTCACAAAAAAAAAAAAAAAACTTTAAAAAGTTTATGTATTTTTTACATGAGTGAGAGAGACACACAGAGAGAGAGAGAGACAGAGAGTACCCCCAAACAGTATCTCGATGCTGTGATCCACCCCCAGCTTTGGCAGCCTTGGGCCATGGGCACACATGTGCTTGGTGTTTTCAGGGAGGTCTCCAGACGTGAACCCAGGATCATCCCATGTTGGTCAGCCTTGCAGAGGGTCATGTTTTACTGCTGCACCTCAGTTTTTTACATCCATTATTTTACTTATTGATCTTGATTAAAAAAAAAAAAACAGTACTTCATCACATCATAGAAGGCTGACATTCATGTGCACCGTCTTATCCAATATGCATTCCGTCCCTGAAGGAAGAGCTATTAACTTCATTAATTACTTACTAATATTAATTAGTTGAAGTCATTGACTCCAAATACCCAGCTTTTGAGTAGTGGAGCTGAGACACACTCTGGTATCTGGCTGCTGGACCAGAAACTCAGAGAGGGTAAGAAACATGCCCCAAACCTGCCTCACAGCCAGGGCGGTCGCTGAGCCAGTGGTTACGGCAGGGTCTTTGCCACATGTCATGCTGGAGTCTCGCTTCTGCTCGGCTGTGGTGTGACCTCAGGCCAGCGGCCCCTCTCTCTGAGCTCCACCTTCTCTCCTGGAGTGGGGAAAGCACGAAGCCTACTTCCAGCCTGGGGGTAAGGTTGCAGTGACAGCAGGGAAGAATGTACTTGCTCCAAGTCCTTTCTGGTTGTTCTCCTTCAGCAAACTCAGAAACAAGTTTAACCTGAACGTCCAGGGCATCTCCATTTCGGCCGATCTGAAGCTGGGCAGCGATCCCATCTCAGGCCACGTCACCATTGCCTGTTCCAGTTGCAGGAGCAACATCAAAAACATCCACATACGCGGTTCCAGAAACCTGGGGTACTGGGGTCCTGGGGTCCTGGGGTCTCATGGAGCCGGGGTTGGCAGGAAGAACCTAAAAGAGAACTGTCCTAATGGTCCCTGTATTCAGAAAACATAGCCTAAGTGCCACTTCCATGCCTGGCCTTGATCAGAAGCCTTGGGTGAGGGAGACAGGCAGGGATCCCCCAACGCAGCAGACACTGACCCTGTCTCAAGGCAGTTGGCCCATCACCGTTATTCGGCAGACTTCACTGAGCACTTATTAAGCCCAGGCTCTTGCTAAGTACTTTATACACCTACTAAATGCTACATTCCTCCCCACAAGTCTGCGGGCATTCATGCACCCACTCACCCACTCACCTGACAACCGTCCACTGAGAAGCAGCTAGCAGCAAGCGTCAGCAACACATCAGGAAGCAGCAGCAGCCGATCAAAACGCAGGAAAGGTGCTGTCAATCGAAGGCTTCCTATGTGCTAAGCATGGCTTTAAGCGCGGGCATCATCTCATTCAATTCACACGATGGCTCTGTGAGCGCTCTTACTCCATTTTCAGGAGAGAAAACCAAGGCACAGAGAGGAAACAAGCGAAGTGGCTATAGCCAGGGTCAAGTCCAGACTATCTGGCCCCAGGCTTTTAGCTACCTAGCCCTGATCTCTTAGTTTCCAGCCCTGTGGGGGAGACAAACAATAATCAAATCATTGCATGAATAAATGACACATAATGATAAAAGGAGATAAGAACTAGGAAAAGCAGATACAAACTGCTTTGAATGCCTGGAACCAGAGGCTCTGACCCAGTCTGTGGGTTGGCCAGTTCCTCCTTGACGAAATACCATTTGAACTGAGATGAAAAAAGTAAGTTGGAGTTATTAGGTAGATGTCAGGACGGGGGCTGTTTTAAGCTGAAGGAACAGCATGAGCAAAGGCACTGGGGTGGGAGGAAGCATGGGCACCGAGAACACAGCAGGGCAGCGTAGCTGGTGTGCAGAAAGGGAGGGGAGGGTGAGGAATGAGACAAACTGGGGCAGGAGCCCAGCTGCCCAGGTCTTGAGGCAATAACCCCAGAACAGGTCATTACGAATGGGGAGAAAAACCCAATGGGGTGTATGCAGTTGGAGTCCAGGGATAAGAGTGCTTATTTGGAGGAGAAAGGAAGGCTTCCCAGATGAGGTAGTCCCCCAAATCCAGCTTGGGGACACCTGGGGAGCCCCAACATGTCTCTGTCTATCATTCTTCAGGTTGCTGATCTATCTCTTCCGCAAGAAAATCGAGCTTTCACTCCACAGAACCATGAACGACAAGGTAGGCGGGGTGCAGGGTCTCATCAATGGTCAGAGGGAAAGGGACCCTCAGTAACTATATGCTTCTGGCACCCTTGGGCAGTTCTGCCCTCACTCCAGACCCCCAGCCATCCCTGTAGCCCTTTGAAAACACCAACCCAACTCTAAAAACCAGTCAAGTCTAATTTACCAAGCAGCTGCCCAAGACCAAGGAAGGGCCTTTCCCCCATGACTGCTTGAACTGTCACTGCTTCCCTACCCCCACCCCAGTGTTCCTTCCTGCGTGGAAGAGGCCTTTTTCTCCCTACAGCCCCATCTCCCCACACCCCTGCTGGTCTTCCTCCCTCCTGCCCTAACTCCAACCCCTCCTCAGTGCTCTCTACACAGAGCACACGCACTGATAAAGCTGCAAGTCCAGACTTTGGCCAGGCCCCAGCTGTAACCCATTTCTTGAGGCTGGAACTGGGTAAGAGACAGGCATTAGCCAGTGCTCCCAACTCTGCCCACACCTGAGTCCCCAGGTCAGCGTCTTCAGCTAAGAAAAGAGGACATTCATTGGGCCGATTTTTCCATCACTAAACTATCAGCTTTCGAGAATCACCTGAACCTCTCTGAGGGCAAATGACCCTGGACTTTCTCCAGAGAGCAATAGGGAGCCATGGAAGGCTTTAGATTAGTGGGTAACCTGTCCAGAGCTGTATTTTCGAACAATTTCTCTGTCCTCTCTGAAAATGACTGGAGGGGCCAAGAGTAGATGCACAATGACCAAGGAGGCTTGTGTAGTCTTCTACTTCAGATGTTGCTTTCAGGGTCAAGGACACCGAAAACACAGGTAGGAGCCGTTGAGTGAGTGAGATACTCTATCTGAAAATACTGTGCCAAACATTTCAAAAAGAAAAATCAATGTGTGGTTGTCACAATTGCTACTAGTGGGTCATAGAGCAGGTTTTCGTCCTGGCTCCAGGGCTTCATGAGCTGTGTAACCCTGAGAAAATTGCTCAAACTTCTGCACTTCGATTTCACCATCTGTCAAATGGGAATGTTAGTGCCTTCTTCACAAGCTGTTGTAAGGACTGAGATAATGTAGACAATGTACTTCCCCACTAGCCTAGCTCACCCTCAGCTCAGCAGTCTGTATAACTAAGTCTGAGAGGACTGTGAAGATACATCTAATGTTTGGAAATTTTTAAATGATTGTGTCTTGTACCACCCAAAAGTGGCCCATCTACAGTAGCCAAGATGAAAAGTAATGACACTGCTGCTGCTGATGGCAAGGATGATGAGAATAGTGAAGATGGTGATGGTGAGGATGACAATTGCAATGTTGAGGATAGCGATGGTGATAGTGATGGTGAGGACAACAATGGTGACACTGAGGATGGGATGGTGAGAGTGAGGATGATGATGGTGATGGTGAAGATGGTGATGATGGTGGTGGTGATAATGACAATGGTGATGGTAATTGTGAGGATGGTGATGGTGAGGATGACGATGGTGATATGAGGATGAAGATGGTGATGGTGAAGATGGTGATTATGGTGGTGAAGATGGCAATAGTGATAGTGAAGATGACAAATAGGACAAATAGTGATGGTGAGGACGGGGATGGTGATGTTGAGGATGACAATGATGATAGAATGATGATGGTGATGATGAGGTTGATGATGTGACATCATCATCACCAAAATGGTGATAGTGACAGTGATGGTGAATTTGGTGATGGAGAGGATGATGATGGTGAGGGTGAGGATGACAATAGTGATAATGATGAAGATGATGATGGTGAGGATGGCGGCCATGGTGATAGTGAGGAGGATGATAATGGTGAGAATGACACTAGTGACGGTGAGGATGGCCATGGTGGTGATGAGGGTGAGGATGGTGATGGTGAGGACGATGGTGATGGTGAGGATATTGATGGTGATGGTGAGGATGATGGTGATGGTGAGGATGAAGATGGTGATGGTGAGATGAAGATGGTGATGGTGAGGATGGTGATGGTGATGGTGAGGATGATGGTGATGGTGAGGATATTGATGGTGATGGTGAGGACGATGGTGATGGTGAGGATATTGATGGTGATGGTGAGGATGATGGTGATGGTGAGGATGATGGTGATGGTGAGGATGTAAATGGTGATGGTGAAGAGGATGATCGCTCACATATACTGAATGCTTACAATGGGCTTGGTGCTACACTAAGAATGCTTTACATGGATACTAGCATTTAACCCACACATGTAATCTCCTATGAGGAAAATGTCCTTCCACAGAAGATTGGAGGCAAGGGACCAGCAGTTGGCATAATGGCTATGTCGCTGGACTCCCATGTAGTCAACCATGGTTCGAGTCCCAGGCCCAGTGGCTTAAACTCATGCCGGGCACATGTGCATGCGTGCCCAAGATCCTGAGAGGAGAATGGAGGAGAAGGGATTGCGGTGTGGCCATCCCCCCTGGGGGGTGATTTCTCGCTTTCTGTCTCTCTATCTCTCTCTATCTTTCTGGTGAGCACACTCGCCCTATGGCAAAAACCTCTCAAAAAAAAAAAAAAAGGAAACAAAGAAACAAAGAAAGAAATTGGAGGCAGAAAAAATAAACAGATAAAAGAAAAACAAAATGACAACCAACAAAAATTTCCACATTGTAAAATAGAAAACATAGAAACCCATTAGGATAGTTCCACACCAGAGGAGGAGGTAGAATACAAATGTGCAAGTCATACTTTCATATACAGTTACTATTTTCAACCTACATACTTCCTGGTGGCCAAAGAGAAAAGGGAAATGGATGAGCTACATAATTCTGAAGAAAATATTTAAGGAAAGCAAAGCTTATCTGGACTATTATTCCCAAAGGACGTGTTCTGCTAGGGGAAGCCCTCGCTGATCTCTTTTTTGGTTCTTCCTAGATCTGCAAGGTAGTGACCAACTCTGTGTCCTCCAAGCTGCAACCTTATTTCCAAACTCTTCCAGGTAAGGACTGACAGGGGGAGGGTGGGTCAAAGGTGAAAGGATGGAGAGGGGAAGGAGGCTGGAGGGGTGTGATGAAGCTAGCAAGTTTCCTAGACAGGCCTGGGCCTGAGCGGAAATGGGCTGAGCAGGCTTTCTTCCAGTGACAGCTAGCATTCCTCCTGGTCCCTGGGGCAAGTCTAGAGCCCACATTCATTCATTCCCTGAGCTCCGCAGGGACCAACTGCCGAGCATCCCCTATCCCTGAGGCCGGAGCATGTAACTGGCCTGAGATCTGATGCTGATCAGGTCTCTCCGAACTCAGTTTCTACACCCCCAAAATAGGGACAGTAACTCCTACCCCAAGCACTTGGTAACTCTGAAGAGTAGCGGTGGGCAGGGGCGGCCTTCCCTTGGCGGAGTGCTTCCCATGTCCAGGCACTTGGAAACAATCTCCTCTCAGCCCCCAGCACCCCACAAAAATAGTCATTCTTCTCCCCGTTTCACACACGAGGAAACAGGCTCGGAGGGGAGCTCTGATCTGTCCATTCAGAGCAGCAGCCACAGGATTCGCATCTGGACTAAGGTTTTCTAAACTCCCGAGCCTGAGCTCCAAACTGCTACCAGGGCTGCCTCCCTGAGGAGCCTGCATGGCTGGCATGCAGCATGTGGACACTTAAGATGTGTTTTCTCCCTTCGGGGCAGGGGCCCACTCTGGGCACATTCCATGCAGTTCAGTGTCCAAGGTTTGACCCCACAAGGCAGGAAAAAGATTTAGGGTTGAGGCCCAGCGGCTCCGTCTTAGACAACACGGGTTTCTGAGCCTCAGTTTCTTGCCATTGAGCTCAGAAAGGAAAGGCTTAAGTGTCACTGCTAGTAACATCCTTCCTGCAACGTGTTCAGGACGTTGGGCATGCACCTCCTTGCAATCCTCCCAGCACTCGGAGTGTCACTGGTCTCGCCCCCATTCTCCAGATGATAAAAAGTGGCTCAGAGAAGTGCAAGGACTTGTCCAAGGTCACACACAGTTCAACGAGCCCAGGTCCCTCTGTCCCCTTGATCCTATGCTTTCGGCAGCCACTTTGGGGCTGTCAGATGAAGGAAATAAGATGATCTCTGTGAATGAGGGGTGTGGTGCATTTTCTCATTAAGGGAGCTCAGGAAGGGCTTCTTGGAGGAGGTGGGAATGGAACAATCATTTCAGTTTTTCATCCGATTTTGGGAAATGCCACCAGGAAAACTGGTTAATGGTCCACCTTCTTTCTCTCTAGTGACAGCCAAGACAAATTCTGTGGCTGGGGTCGACTATCGTCTGGTGGCACCTCCAG